AGGTATTAATGTGAATTTATATTAACCAGTACTCCAAATTCAGTTGCAAAGTGGAGACAATCCCACTGACACATACATACATGAAGTAACCTAAGGCGAATCCATCCACCCTGTCAATAACTAAAGATCAGTCCTACATAGAGTCCTTCCTCAGAGATAAAGTAAATGATAAAAATTCACAAAACAAATTCATAAATATTTCTAAGACATGCAATGACATGAAGGTTTATAACAGTAGCTATATATACCTAAAATAGTCAACATAAATGGCATGATGTAATAAAATAATAGGTGAAACATAACTTACAAGAGAATTTTATGCTTAGATTCTATGATTAGAAGAAAACCTTCTACAGGAAGGTAGAAATAGAGAACTAGAAAAAATAAGAAAATGACGAAAGATTAAAGATGCAATAATAGATATATTCTCTATTAGCATCAGGAAGGGGCTGAATTGGCAGTGATGAAAATGAGAATTCATGCTATGATGTAGAAACCTAAAAACAATCTGGAATGGAGAAGAGAGGGTAAGCTAAAAAATGAATTTTAAATCAGAGAAAACAATAATTGGGATGTAGAATAGAGTGAAGTGTATCAGTCAATATTGTTTCCAAAGAGAAAATGAGAACAAATGAGCAGGCAAACAATTAGTCACAATTACTATAAAAATCCAAAAATATCTACAATTGCCAATCAATATTTTCTGAACTATTAGGTAAGAGATGTAGTAGTAGCTGCTTTGTACTATATGTAACACATGTTAAATCCTCAGTAAAGCACTAAATAGTAGACATTATCATTATAATATGCATTTTATAAATGAAGAAAATCAGCTTAAATAACAAAGCAGGAAGAAGTTATCATCACCTAGGAAAAACCTGAATCAACAGATTTAAATAATTTACCAAATTTGTAAAAACATCACTAAATAAGCAATGAAGTGGCAATGGCCCATTTATATTTTGAATTTCAAGGAAAGACAACATTACAGGTGTCTAAGCAGGATAAAAAATCAGTTTAAAAAAACAGCATGTGTATATATAGCAGTCCTCCCTTCTCTGCGGTTTCACTTTTTACAGTTTCACCTTCTGTCAACCTTGGTCTGAAAAGATTACAGTATTCTGAGAGACAGAGCAAGAGGCCACATTCATATAACTTTTATTCTAGTATATTGTTATAACTGTTTTATTAGTATTGTTAATCTCTTACTGTGCCTAATTTATAAATTGAACTTTATTAAAGATATGTATGTATAGTGAAAAACAGCCTATATAGGGTTTGGTACTATCTACAGCTTCAGGTATTCATTCACTGGGAGCCTTGGAGTACATTTGCCTTGAATAAGGGGAGACTACTGTATGTGCATGTGTGCATACTTAAAGGTATATACGTAAATAAATACACGTGCGTGTATGCAGTGACATAAGAATAATACATATCATATTTTACCAGAATTTTGAAGGCATGAATGTAATAAGTCAATAACTACAGATTTTAAAGAAGAAATTCTATCTCATCTACTTTATATCTAGGTAAGATATCCACATATGCATAGGCAACAAAACGTACTGCCGAATAATTAAAGGCTTTGGACAACTACATATAATCCTAACAAACTGCTGGGAGGAGTACTGTAGTTTTCCCATAAGTTAGTTAATATTTCTTTTTAAAAAAGATAATGTAGCAAAGAAATTACATTTTAAATTAGCATATATAAACCCACCATTTTAATATATGTAAACAATAACAAGTTAGTGTATTCAGGAAGAAAAGACTCATATATAAGAATAACATATAATACAATAACCAGAATTAAGCAGAGTAAGAAATGTGCAAAGTCTGTATTTTAAAAACCTTAAAACACTCCTGAAAGACCACATATCAAAATTGAAGACTTGAAAAGATAGGGTATATTCTTGATTAGAAGACTCAACTCTGTAACTGAGGTTGGGATTACAATAATGAGTAGGTCTGAGAAGCGGAAAAATCGGGATCCCATTTTGGTTGTGTTGAGTTTGATCTTTCAGGGAAGAGGTCATGAGGCATCGGATAAGTGAGTGTGGGGTCAGCACGAAAAGTTATGAATTGGAGCGTTCTCAACATCTGTCACTTAGCAATAGTGTGTGAATGTAGAGAGGAAAGGAACCTAGAATAGAATCCTGAACCTTCCAACATTTACGGATTAACTCGAGAGTGAAAAGCCACCACAGAAGACTGAGACCAAACCAAATGGCCAAGGAAAGAAAAGGAAAAGTATGAGTGTGATATTCTGGAAGCCAAAGACAGTCAATTTGTTCAAAGAGGGAATATTCCTCCTGTATTCCCAGTGCCTGGCCCATGGTAAGAATTCAATAAATATTTGTTAGATGAACGAAAGTATGAAAGGAGAAATGCCATTTTCCTAGAAAGATATCTTTTATAAAAGTATGCTCACGAAGTAGAAGAAAAACATTTTAGACTAATTTTATATGGATTATACATATATGTAAATTTTAAAAAATCCTAAATTTTCACTAAAAGTTCAAATCCATCTGTATTCTAAAATAATAACAGAATATGACTGAATGTCTAATGGTACCAAAATCTCTGGTAAAATATTCAGCCAAAGGTGCCCTGAAATGCTGTAACAGAAATGAAAGTTATTACGTGCTCATTGATAAAATACTGAACACTAAGTGTGCAAATAATATAGACTCACTGGTCTTAAGTACGGTCCTAAAGATCATTGAGTCTTCTCCTCTTGTCTCTAAATGGGCCATCAGAACCTGCTCCCATACCCAGAATTCGTCTCTTCTTCCATCTTGCCACAAAACCCTCTTTCAGCAAATTACTGACTTCTAGAACATCAAACGATCCCTAGAGATCCTCAAATGACCACTTGGCTACCAGAGAGCACATAGGACAGAAACTAGGCATGGGTTTCTTTCTTATTTTTAAGCATCTTCAGGGAGTTGTTGATAAGAGTTAAAACTAGACGTAGCATTATAACTACTTGGTCTCCCTTCGTGAGCAGTTTCAAAAGGTATAATTCATTTCATATATGCAGCCAGTAATGTAATTTTCATAATATCAGCTACATTGTTAACCACATCAAATTGGAATCAGAATAGCCACCAGATTGATTCATTTTCCATGTGTACAATCTGTTGTATATTCAGAACAATCATTAATGCTTCTTAACTCTTCTTAAAACCAGTACAGAGCCTTGTATTTTGTCTAAGGTGAATTACTTCATTCAAACAAATAAATAAATCAGAAACTAATTTTTCAGCCTGTCATAAATATGACTAAAGATACATGTATGTTCCTTCCTGGACACATTTGACTTTATCTCTTTAAAACACCTTCTAATGAATTTAAAAACTTCCTGAAAGTATTGAGCAAGCAAATAAAATCAGTTTTCCACATATATTATAGCTAAAAGGAGATCACACATGTAAATTATAAACAATGATTGTTTCTTACCAGCTTATGGTATCTGTGAAGATTTTTCTGGTTTCTCAGATTTTAATGAAGTACACCTTTGGACTTGACCTTACCAAAAAAATACTCTTTTAAATCTATTTCATTCTCTGATCCAGTAGTTTCCTGATTAGCCAGGACTGTGTCCATCTATTTTTTAGCACTGAGATTATTTGTCTGGTCCTATAGTTTAAAAAAAAAAAAAACACAAAAACAGGCAAGCCACGGAGGTGAGGCTAAAATGTGAACTTGGTAAGACTGCAGCTTCCTTTCCTATTAATTATCTCCCCTTCTCACCTGGTGATAATATGATGCTGGCAATAGCTGTTTTACCTTTACGTAATTGTTTTAGTACCATTTAACCTGCTCCACTGAGTATTTTAAAAGGTCATGTAGCATATGAGCTGGGGGTATAGATAGGCCTTTATGGAAAGAATCTGAGCTGCATCTTTTGATGGCATAGTTTTATAAAGTTAGCTTAAAACTAGAAAAAATTAAAACCTTGCATCTTCATGTACTGCTAATTATAAACCATTTTAAGGTGATAATCACCACAGGCAGGAGCGAAAGCCATGCAAAATTCCTCTCTATTGATGGAAGGGTGTGTTACATATGTCAGCATATTACTGACTTTTTCTGCAGTCACTGGAATCCCAGTTTTTCACAGCTATTATTTTTTGTTTTCTCAGAATCTTCCCTGAACAATGTGCACCTTCTTTGAGATAGAGACCCTCTGTTGCCCAGGCTGGAGTGCAGTGGTGCGATCTCGGCTCACTGCAACCTCTGCCTCCCGGGTTCAAGTGATTCTCTTGCCTCAGCCTCCCAGGATCTTATTTTCTTTCAATGACGTGAATTGTTGGCCATGTGTGAACGTTTTTACATGATATTTTTAAAAAGTCATTAAATGCTTTGCATATGTAGGAACTTGTACCAGGCAATGCAGAGTGTGAACTCATAGAAATTATTCCCTTACTTTGGAAATTAGTTTTCTGTTGTGGGATAGACATTATGTCCAACACGGTGAACAACTTTATGACTTAAACAGAGCATTTCTCTCTCTCTTTCTCTCTCTCTCTCTCTCACATACACATCATGTAGGCATGATAAAAAATCAGGATTACAAATAAAGTATAGATTTCATACTGCATTTAAGATGCAGTTAAGGCAAAATTATGTTAATGAGATGTGTCTGATAAAGGTAAAATTCATTAATTCATAAACACTTGCCATAAATTATATGAACAATTATTTTATGGACATGTACACAGTTGATCCAATCTAAATGATCACCAATGACCTGAATTAAATAATATATAATGCAGAATTAAGGATGTGAAAAATGGTAAAAATATGCTAACTTTTCGTTAAATATGTCTTGACTACAATAAAATTTATATAAATGTTAAAAGCACAGTTCAAATTGAATTCTAATTTTTCAGGAGGTTTGCTTGCATGGCATATTAAAACATCCCTGAGGAAACATATTTCTTAAAACCACAAAGAAAAAAGTTCTTGCAATGGGAAAATGATTGATTTACCTGGATCTTCTATAGTTAAGTTCTTTATCAACCATTGAACAATGTCTGAACCTAGAAAGAGAAAAAAAAAAACCACAAATAGATATGAACAGTTTGTTTATACATTTTAACTTTAACAATTCTCCACCTTTGGTGTTCATATTAGAAGGACCTTTTCTTTTTTTTTTTTATTGCATTTTAGGTTTTGGGGTACATGTGATGAACATGCAAGATTGTTGCTTAGGTACACACTTGGCAGTGTGGTTTGCTGCCTTCGGTCCCCTCACCTGTATCTGTCATTTCTCCCCATGCTATCTCTTCCCACCTCCCCACTCCCCCGCCCCTCCCCCATTTCCCCCCAACGGACCCCAGTGTGTAGTGCTCCCCTCCCTGTGTCCATGTGTTCTCATTGTTCAACACCTTTTCTAATTGTTACAATGACAAGTTAAGGATCTACCCTAGATGGAGTGCTGAAAACACAGAGTGTGAATACTTAGCTGTCTTTCAATAAACCAATGTGTAAACTAGTAAATTAATAAATATAAAATATTTAAATATAAATAAAATTTACTGTACTAGTAGAAAGTGACTTGTTTACTAAGTATTTATTAAGCATCTACTACATTTCAGGTACAAATCTTAGTATGGCATAATCGGTACTTTATAAGATGGTTACTGTCTCATTTCTGGTTGTACCCACCTCATTCTTGTATCTCCTTTCAAGCCAAACCGAATTTGCTTTTGGTTTTTGAGCCCTCCAATGTATTTCAAGCCTCTACGTCTCCATACAGTATTCTCCCTGACTGAAATGTCTTCCCACAATTTTTTTTTTTTTTAAACATTGTCTCGCACTGTTGCCCAGGCTGTAGTGCAGTGGTGCAATCTCGGCTCACTGCGGCCTCTGCCTCCAGAGTTCAAGTTATTCTCCTGCCTCAGCCTCCAGAGTGGCTGGAATTACAGGCACCTGCCACCGTGCCCAGCTCATTTTTTTGTATTTTTAGTAGAGACGGGGGTTCACTATGTTGGCCAGGCTGGTCCCAAATGCCTGACCTTGAGATCCACCCACCTCAGCCTCCCAAAGTGTTGGGATTACAGGTGTGAGCCACCGCGCCTGGCCTGTCTTCCCACTATTTTTAAGATACTCAAGATCCACCGACATGCCAGAACTTTCCTTGCCCCTTCCCCTTGTCCACTGAGTGTCCGACACTGTCCATGAAGCCTTGCTAGAATCCACGTAGTCTTCTATTGCAGTGTTAATCACACCATGCCCCAGCTGTTATCTGATGAATGCCCCAAAGTAAGTACCTTGAAGCCGGGTGTCATATTCATCTTTGATTATCTGGAGTGTAGTAAGTGCTTAACAATGTGTGACCAATACAAAATATGAGTGACTATGTTTTAATTCATACAGAAGAGATGAGAGAGTCTGCAGAAAACATAATGTTTGAGCTAGACTCTGAAGAGTATACTTTTGTCTGTGAATAAGGGAGTAATTTAGTGGCTGAAGGGGTCTACATAAAAATTAAAAGATGGTTTATAATCCAAGGACACGTGCACACGAATGTTCATTGCAGCACTGTTTACAATAGCAAAGACCTGGAACCAACCCAAATGCCCAACGATGATAGACTGGATAGGGAAAATGTGGTACATATACACCATGGAATATTATGCAGCTATCAAAAACGACGAGTTCACGTCCTTTGTAGGGACATGGATGAACCTGGAAACCATCATTCTCAGCAAACTGACACAAGAGCAGAAAATCAAACACCGTATATTCTCACTCATAGGCGGGTGTTGAACAATGAGAACACATGGACACAGGGAGGGGAGCACTACACACTGGGGTCCATTGGGGGGAAATGGGGGAGGGGCGGGGGGGTGGGGAGGTGGGAAAAGATAGCATGGGAGAAATGACAGATACAGGTGAGGGGACTGGAAGGCAGCAAACCACACTGCCATGTGTGTACCTATGCAACAATCTTGCATGTTCATCACATGTACCCCAAAACCTAAAATGCAATAAAAAAAAATTAAAAGATGGAAAAACAATAATAGAAATCATTTACTACACACTGTCTATATGTAAGTGCTGGGAATAATGCAAACTTTGGAGTCATAAAAGAGTGCACAGTATATTAGCAGGTCTTGAATTCTAGGCTAAAGATTAATTTTTTTTCCATAAGGAAAGCAGAGAAAGAGACATGCAATATTTTTGAGCGGAAGAATGACATTACCAAAGTAAGTTTAGGGAATATGACTGGTAATATATGTGAAATGCCTTAGTCACAAAGAAGGCAAAGCAGTCAGCATGTCTGCTAGTTGCAACCCAAGATTGAAAGGAAAAGGTCTTAGTTCAGTGTACAAATGAACTCCTTAAAAATTACAGACTTGTTAGACTTTACGACTAAGTAGGTTTAAGGGTTACAAGTGGAGAGATTAAAAAATAAGTCAAGGTTTCTAGCCTAGAAGCATGGATGAATAGAATGGTAAAGATAAGAGCAGAAATAGGCGATTTACTGACTGCTTTGCTGGAGACATTCACTTCTATTTAAAATTAGTGCTGCTCCCCGCACTCCCGGGAGTCCTGCCCACAGACCCGGTTCCCACCCAACCTGGCATAGAGCCGCCCACAGAGCCGACTCTACAGAGCAAGATGACATGATTGTATATTTAGAAGACCCTATTGTCTCAGCCCAAAAATCTCCTTAAGATGATAAGCAACTTCAGCAAAGTCTCAGGATACAATATCAATATGCCAAAATCACAAGCATTCCTATACACCAATAACAGAGAAACAGAGAGCCAAATTATGAGTGAACTCCCATTCACAGTTGCTACAAAGAGAATAGAAGACTTAGGAATTTAACTAACAAAGGACATGAAGGACCTCTTCAAGGTAACTACAAAACACTGCTCAAGGAAATAAAAGAGGACTCAAACAGATGGAAAAACTTTCCATGTTCATAGTTAGGAAGAATCAGTATCATGAAAATGGCCATACTGCCCAAAGTAATTTATAGATTCAATGCTATCCCCATCAAACCCCATTGACCTTGTTCACCAAACTGGAAAAAATCACCTTAAACTTCATGTGTAAACAAAAAAGAGCCCAAATAGCCAAGACAATCCTAAGCAAAAAGAACAAAGCTGGAGGCATCATGCTACCTGACTTCAAACTATACTACAAGGCTACAGTAATCAAAACTGCATGGTACTGGTACCAAAACAGAGATATAGACCAATGGAACAGAACAGAGGCCTTGGAAGTAATGCCACACATCTACAACAATCTGATTTTGGCAAGCCAGACAAAAACGAGCAATGGGGAAAGGATTCCCTTTTTCTGTTTAATAAATAGTGTTGGAAAAACTGGCTAGCCATGTGCAAAAAGCTGAAACTGGACCCCTTCCTGACACCTTACACTAAAATTAACTCCAGATGGATTAAAGATTTAAACATAAGACCTAACACCATAAAAACCCTAGAAGAAATCCTAGGCAGTACCATTCAGGACATAGGCATAGGCAAGGACTTCATGACTAAAACACCAAAAGCAATGGCAACAAAAGCCAAAATAGACAAATGGGATCTAATTAAACTTAAGAGCTTCTGCACAGCAAAAGAAACTATCATTAGAGTGAACTGGCAACCAACAGAATGGGAAAAAATTTTTGCAAGCTACCCATCTGACAAAGGGTTAATACCCAGAATCTACAAAGAACTAAAACAAATATACAAGAAAAAAACAACCCCATCAAAAAGTGGACAAAGGATATGAACAGACACTTTTGAAAAGAAGACATTTATGTGGCCAACAAACATATGAAAAAATGCTTATCATCACTGCTCATTAGAGAAATGCAAATCAAAACCACATTGAGATACCATCTCACACCAGTTAGAATGACGATCATTAAAAAACCTGGAGCCAACAGATGCTGGAGAGGATGTGGAGAAATAGGAACACTTTTACACTGTTGGTGGGAGTGCAAATTAGTTCAACCATTGTGGAAGACAGTGTGGCGATTCCTCAAGGACCTAGCAGTAGAAATACTATTTGATCCAGCAATCACCTTACTGGGTAAATACCCAAAGGATTATAAATCGTTTTATTGTAAAGACACATGCACATGTATGTTCATTGTGGCACTGTTTACAATAGCAAAGACTTGGAACCAACTCAAATGCCCATTAAAAATAGACTGGATAAAGAAAATGTGGCACATATACACCATGGAATACTATGCAGCCATAAAAAGGATGAATTCATGTACTTTGTAGGGACATGGATGAATCTGGAAATGATCATTCACAGCAAACTGACACAAGAACAGAAAACCAGACAGTGCATGTTCTCACTCATAAGTGGGTATTGAACATTGAGAACACATGGACACAGGGAGAGGAACATCACATACTGGGGTCTGTTGGGGGTGGGGGTTAGGGGAGAGATAGCAGGGGGTGGGGAGATTGGGGAGGTATAACAGGAGAAATACCTAATGCAGGTGATGGGGGGATGGAGGCAGCAAACCACCATGGCATGTGTATACCTATGTCACAGTCCTGCAAGATCTGCACATGTACCCCAGAATTTAAAGTAAAATTAAAAAGAAAAGAAAAAAATAAGAATTTTTCTGCATATTAAAAATAAATAAATAAATAAATAAAATAAAATTGGTTTTCTGCATAATTCTTTTCTACATAAAATTGGAAAAACATATATGTGAATTATTTGCATACATAATAAATGGTTTCATAGCTGCCTGAATTGAATGAAACTTCAGTGTGAACCAAGATTCTATTTCAACCTCTCCTGGAAGCTGATTAGAGCTGCCGTCAACCCACCTCAGAGATTTTGCAAATTAATTACGTTAATATTGGCAAAATAATTCCAGCCGCTTGAATTAAATCAGTTCAAATTCAATTTAAGAATAAATCTGATTACTAAACTTGAAAATAAAGTCCCAAAAGTTATGAGAACATTCATACTCAATGTCACTTTCAATATGCATGCATTTAAAAAATAACCAAGTATTGACTTGAACTTGCGTTCTTTTATAGCTGTT